AACAGGCCCTACTAAAAAGTTTTTCCCTATCTTTCTTATAAGCCCCCTTTAAGTATTGAAAAGCTGCAATAAGGTCTCCCTGGAGCCTACTCTCCTCCAGGCTGAACAACCCCAACTCTCTCAGCCTGTCCTCATAAGAGAGGTGCTCCAGCCCTCTGATAATTTTTGTGGCCCTCCTCTGGACCTGCTCCAACAGGTCCACATCTGTCTTGTGCTGGGGGCTCCAGACCTGGATGAAGTGCTCCAGGTGGGGTCTCACCAGAGCAGAGTGGAGAGGCAGAATCACCTCCCTTGACCTGCTGGCCACCCTTCTTTTGATGCAGCCCAGGATAGGGTTGGCCTTCTGGGCTGCCAGCGCACATTGCCGGCCCATGTCCAGCTTTTCGTCCACCAATACCCCAAGTCCCTCTTGGCAGGGCTGCTCTTAATCCCTTCATCTCCCAGCCTGTATTGATACTGGGGGTTGCCCCAACTCATGTGCAGGACCTTGTACTTGGCCTTGTTGACCCTCATGAGATTCATCTGGGCCCACTTCTCAAGCTTGTTCCGGTCTCTTTGGATGGCATCCCATCCCTCAGGCATGTCAACCACACCACTCAGCTTGGTGTCATCTGCAAACTTGCTGAGGGTGCACTCAATCTTGCTATCTGTGTCAATGATGAAGATATTAAACAGTACTGGTCCCAGTACCGACCCTTGAGGGACACCACTTGTCACTGATCTCCATCCAGATAAGGCACTAGATTTTGTTACGGCTTTTATATGTCTTCTTCCCTGAATGATGTTTCTATAAGCAGAAGCAGGGTATTCCTAAGTTCTGTGGATGTATTGAATCACTGCACAGAGAAGGTAAGAATTAAGCATGATGCCATGAGTTTCAGCTTAGTGCTTCTTGGTTTTTAGAAGGCTGTTGACATGTAAACTGAATTTTGGGAGGAAAAAAAGAACAGTGTGAGTGCTCGGAGGCTTAAGTTCCTTAAGTTCTTTTTCTTCAGTTGGTTGGGTGTGTTTTGAATTCTTTTTTTCTTTTGATTTTTGATAAAAAAGACACTTCGTGGTCGTTTAGGCAGTACTGCTTTGTAGCGTGAGGTGCTGTTTAGTGGTCATGCAGATAAGAACGTATATACTCTCCAGTAAGAAGTGTAAGTACAGTCATCCATGTATGTACCTCTCCGTCCACTGATGAGAGAACTGAGGCACCATGGGTAGAAGGAACCTGAAGTGGACTGCTTATGTAGGAGTAGAATTCAGGTTCCTTCAGTGGCAAGCTCAGTGAGGTGGGTCTTTGATTTTCGTTTCCTGTTAAGCTGTACAGTGATTTTTAAAGGGTTTGAGTGAGCAGTGGATGCTCATTGTCCAGTTGTTGATGCCATGTGTAGACAGAGGTGCTGACAATGTCAGAGAAATGAGGCATAGTTTGATGAGTAAATTATACAACACTTGAAATAACTTTTGTTTTTAACTGTGATAAACTTAAAGTATGAGCTTTCCAGTGCTTCCAGTTCTTTCTTACTTACCCTAAATGTCCCATTAAGTCATTAACTCTGTCAAAGTCTTTAATGCACAAAATTCCCTGATTTCTTCTACTGGAGTACAATGATCAGTATAAATGTGTTCTATCGTGGACCAAGCTCTTGCCTTTCCCTTACACTCTCCAACACGCATCTCTGACAATGTCTTTACACCCTGTCCTCAGCTTTCATCTGATTCTATTTCTGTTCTTTAATCCAGCCTGCCTCTACCTCACATAAAGTTAATGTGTTCCTTACTTCTGTGTTACCTGATTTTATAGAGGCTTATTTGTGTAATTTTTTGTTTTTAAAAAAAGGAGAAGCAGATACTAGCTCAAATGGAAAGAAAGAAGTGAATTTCTACAGAGAGGGCAACACAATAGTCTGGCATCTACCCAGATAGAGTGTTTAGAAAGGGTAGTTGTCCCATGTATAACTGCCTAATCTCATACTCAGTCTTTGTTCTTCACATTTACATTTATTTGTAAAAAAAACTTTTGGACCCTTCAGATTGCTTTCCAGATTTTAATAGGTAGTCTGTTGCTCATATTTTGTGTCTAGAAAATTCTAGGATGACTTTTATTAATTACCTGTCTGATAACTCCATTGGTTACTTCTTCATGTTATAGGCTATGAAACTTGTATTTCCTAGATACGTTAATTAAAAACTCTCAATTTAATATAACTGGTATTTATGATGTTCCAATATGGCTACAAGAGTACATGGGAAAACTTAATTAAACTGCAGTTCAAGATGTGTACTTAGTTATATTTTAAAAGTAATCCAATTTTGATATTTATTCATTTGCAAACTATTCGATTGACAAGAAGTTTTGACTCTGTGTGTGTGTGTTTGTTTATTTAGGCTTTGCTCACTGCAGTAACATCTCAACACATAGAAATCCACGAAGGAACAGTGCTACAGGCTGTAAGAACATGTTACAATATCTACCTAGCAAGCAAAAATCTCATAAATCAAACCACAGCCAAGGCCACTCTAACACAAATGCTGAATGTCATTTTTGCACGTATGGAAAATCAAGCAGTGAGTATCTCAGCATCTTTGTATAGAAACTAGCTCTTAGAAGCAAACCAGCTTGAAAGATTTGTTTTGTCACTATTATTAAAGCTTTTTGGTTTTCCCAACTTATGTGCTTTTGAAAAAAAAAAGAATCTGGTATCTTACATTGTTCTTGTGTTTTGCACTCTGAAATTGGTGTGAAATGTGGTTTTGGAGGGTAGAGGTGATGTATAGGATTTAAATTCCTCATAGTGGTCCTGTATATTCAATGGATATACTCAATTTCAGTTTCTGTTGTCAGGCTGTCAAGAGATGCCACACTTCCTGCGTAAGAGTGCATATGGAATACATTAGTGTTAGTGAAATGGTCCAATTTTGCTGTGATGATAAAACATCATAGTAGTAAGCCATTATTAAAAGAAAGCAAAACAAACCAAAAAATCCCAAACCCGTTTCCAGTCATGTAATCATTTACATTTTTTAACATCTTAATGTGTAGTATTCACTAACAGATACTTAGATGTTACTGAAACATCTGTTACCAGGTTGCCCAGAGAGGTAGTGGAGGCCCCATCCCTGGAAACATTCAAGGCCAGGTTGGATGGGGCTCTGAGCAACCTGATCTAGTTGGCGGTGTCCCTGCTGACTGCAGGGGGGTTGGACTCGATGACCTCTAGTGGTCCCTTCCAACCCAAAACATTCTATGATTCTATGATTCTATGAAATTCCTGTTGTGAGTTGTCAGCATGGATCCCAGCCTATGCCCTGTGCCTTCTACTGCTGATAATAACGATCAGCAAGGCAAAGTAATTGTTCTAGTTCCTATTAAAAAAAGAAACACCCCAAACCCAAACAAATAAAAAAGCAGTTGCCCGGATTTGAGAACTGGTTGAATTCCTAGCTAGTCCTAGAAGTAATTCTGCAGTACAGACTCTGAAGTTGTCTCTAAGAATAGGTAGTATTTTCTCACTTGCGTCTTGGAAGCCACTGCATATTGGTATGTGGTACTATCACACTTAAAAGATTTATGAGACATCATATTTATGATAAGCCATGGCAAAAGCCATGCAGTACCTGAGTGTTTTGAGAAATCTGTGCAGTTACTGTCCTTCTGAGCAACTTAATATAGAAGAGGTTTATTATTGTTATTCTACAATGGAAGTCTTCATTTTTGCCAGACTGTAAGTCTAGCCTTTATGCAAGTTGATAAGCAGTTCTGCTTGTTTTGCACGCACAGGGCAGTTATTTTAATATGGTAGCTAAAAAATTCTAGAAGGAATTATTTGAGCTGTCATTTGAAATGTAGTATCTACTCAGAGATCTGTAGAACCCCCAAAAATGCAGCATAGAAAGTTTTAAGTGGAAGAGTGAAGGGCTGATCATAGTAGCCAAAATAACAGTATAAAAATACACAAAACTTTTGGTAAATATTAGGCTCTGCAGGGATAGAAAGCCAGTCCTTAGATCATCGCCTCAAAGGACACCCTGCTTTGGTTTGACTTCAGTGACTCTTGTCTTAATCCATTAGACACATTACAAAAATTCTTCCCTTTCCAGGGATTCCAGATCAAGGAACCATGAAACTAAAATAGTCTTTGTCTTACAGTTTTGAGTATGATGATTTCTTTCTGATGATCTGATCTGTCTTCTGTAGTGTTTTGGAAGTGCTGCTCATTTCAGTTTTAACTCCCGTCTTTGGTTTTTTCCCCTGGATGTTTAGTCAGGTTTGTTTTGCTTTGGGTTTTTTTCAGTCTTTCCCTTAATACCACCTGCTTGTAGAACAACAGAAGACTCTTAAGTTCTCCAATGTATCTCTCTTTGTGTCTCTCTTTGTGACAACTTACAAAACAGAAAAAAAAAAAAAAATCTGCCTTGATGTTTCTCCATCCACTCTTTGTGTATTGTCACATCTACTGGCTGAACTTCTTTATAGGGCAGGCAGACAAGTCCTGATCCTATACTCCTTGTAGTTTAGTTCTCCCTCTTCCACAGTGGAGATATGGTTAAGTGTAATGTGGATAGCTGGGAAGCAGTCCTCTTGCAGAAGTGTATGATATTACAATTATTTAGAATAATACAAAGGATGCATTTTCTTAACTGTTACAACTTTATGAAGGCACTGTGTAAGCAATAAGCAATTTCTTGTTTATAAAATAATGTATACAATAGGTGTACAGCTCATTATTTTGTTTTGATAGTGAAATTCTTGTGTGATTGCAATGTTTTTGTAGCTTCAGGAAGCCAAACAGATGGAAAAGGAAAGACACAGACAGCAACACCATCTACAGCAGTCTCCAGTAAGCCATCATGAGCCTGAGTCACCTCAGTTGAGACATATTCCAACACAGACTGATCAGCTGTCCAAAGAACATGAGAGAGAACTTGACCACAGCACAAATGATGTGGACAAGAACCTTCAAGAAGATATAGAGGCAGAAAATGGATCTGATATTTCTAGTGCTGAAAATGAACAGACAGAAGCTGACCAAGCCACAGCAGCAGAAAGTAATCAGTGTGTATTTCTGTTTCATGGAGGGAGGGAAAAGGTCTGTAAAAAGAAAGGATTGAGGATTGTCTTTTCCCCTCTCCCAAATCTGGAGTCAGGCATATATTTTCAAATAGTTGTCTAATGTAAAATGCCTGTTGTCCTTGTTACCACTGTTAAACTTTATCACAAGTATCCTTTAGTCCCACATTCTGTTGTAGCCACTGTAGCAAAGATTCCTCTTTGCACCTATGTAATATTGTGAAAGTTTTTGAGAATAACATCTCAAAACCTGTAAGTTTTCAGTGCTTAACGTACATGAAAATACAAAATTGATGTGTTTTGTTGGCATAGGCCTGTGGATTAATTACCATATGCGGGTTAAACACTAGAATGCTTATGTTCTGCAAATACTATTTTCAAAGCATCCAAACACTTTTTTTTTATGTACGCTCTCCCACTAATATATTTGTAATTGAATTTTTAAATATTAAATGCAAGTTAAATAGTACCTTAATTTCTGACTTTCTCATTGATATGTGTTTGGGTTTGTTTTTCTTTTTAAAGATCTTTCTAAAGCTGATGGAGGAACCTATGATGGTGAAAGCAATGAGTGTGAAGAGAAGGCGCAAGAAATTGTAGAAAGTATTGTGCAGGAAATGGTGAACATAGTAGTTGGAGGTATTATATTAATATCTGTATAGTCAGTAGCGACTACAGTCCGAATCTTGACATGAAGAATTATTTTAACACTTCTGAATATTTAACTAAAGTATGTCATTATTTAAATAACACATGCTGAAGGAAAGTTTCAGTTGTCTGACCTTAGCTGTGCATTATTTAACAGTAAAACGGACAAGATTTCGTACATTAATTTACACTATCTGTCTTGGAGACTAATGTTCTTTTTAAAATACAAATTCTTGTTCCTTTTTTTTTTTTTCTATTTTATGTCCACATAAACTCTTCACAGGTGGGCCTGTCTCTGTAGTAGCAGTATAGCACTACATTTTTCAGTTTGTCGGAAAGTGTATATCAAATCAGTGACTTCTCTCCCCTCCCCCCAATACTTCTTGGAAACTTGGCAATATAAAGTTATAAGTAATTTTTAATTGTAATTTTCATTAGTGGGAATTAAAGACTATTTTGAATTTTAGTTATATAATGCCATGTAAGTTCTTTATGATATCCTCTTTATGATAATTTGCTTATGATTGTTGTAGTGTTTAAACGTTTGATTTAAAAGCACTTTTTAATTTGCATTCTTACATAACATTTGTTTATAATTTTTACATTTTTTCTGATAGATGTGGAAGGGACTGCTGAAAGTGCAGGTGGTGATGGCACAATTGTGACATTAGAGGATGGCAGTGACAGTGAAAACATTCAGGCAAATGGAATTCCAGGGACTCCAATTTCTGTTGCTTATACACCATCTTTACCTGATGACAGATTATCTGTCTCTTCCAACGATACTCAGGTACAGGTAGTTATAAATTAGGACATACTGAAAAAAGTAATATGTTTTAAGTGTTGCCCAACACTTGTGCAGAGAGTGTTTAATACAATTCCATAAAATAAGTTACTCAGTTGAATTTCAAGTATTAAGTCATGTTCTAAGTGTTATTCTTTTTTAATACACTATTTAAATTAAATTTTTGTGAGTAAATTTCGCAGGCAATGCGTTTTTTATTCTAGCATATTTTTAGCTGCCCCATACAGTACACTGTCCCAAGATTAGAGAACTCAGTTCCCTGTTTTTTGAAGTGCTCCTGAGAAACTATAAAACTAGCATTCAATATACATAGTGAAGAATATAGCCAACTATAGACATACTTATATCATTTCAGTGTGCTCTTTTGAAATAATAAGTAGAAATTTCAAGCCTATAGCATGACCTTACTGCAATGACTTCAGATAAAAAGTTTCATGTTTGAGAGGATTTGATTTTCATTAAGAAAAAAGATGTGAAAATGTACTCCCTCTATTGTATCAGATATCAGCATGTGTGCACTATCAACTGACAGAGGGTTATCTGTTTTCAAAGTGTACTGAGTAATTAGGATTGGGAATAATAACTTTTAAGCTTAAAAAGCTACAGTCACATATGCCATACAAATAGAAGATTAACATCAGGCATGTTGCTTATATAAGGAACAACAATACAGAATTGCAAGAACTTAGTAATAGGGGTGATTATTGTATCGTAGAAATTTTATCAAACTTATCTTGCTACAGATATGTAACTCCTCACGTTCTATTAAAATGTCAAGTCTGTTGTTTTTTTTTTTTAAACTAGTTATCTACCGAAAATGTCTGAAGACAATTTACTGCAAGTTACCTTACTTAAACTTGACCTACTTAATTTCATGACAGTCTTTAATTAAATTCTGACTTTTTACTGAGATAGCAATTTTTATTAGTGAGTTTGGTCATTTTAACTGGGCTGCAGGGTATTTTGTTTTGTTTTAGTTTAATCTTGAGACCATAAGGCTATAGTGAATTGGTTATATTTGTATAATATGTTAACTTCTTGTTGCTA